GTAAATTTCTAGGGCTTTATCCCCAGTGCAGTGAAGCATGACTGCAATTTTATAATCCTCTGCCTCTTCCTTGGCCTTTGTGACTGCAAGGTTTAATCAAAGCTTCTGGTTTCATCTCCTCCAATTCTCCCCAAGATTTCCAGTAAAGGACAATGCTGGTGGAGGTTTGAAATGCTCCATTATTTTTTTTATTTTATTTTTAGTTGAGGGTGAAAGCTGTAACCCCGTTAATCAGGCTGCTGGTGACTCCACCAAGAGACACATCACTTCTGACACTGTATAATGTTTACTCTAGGCCCTTGGGTTTCAGGGATGGGGTACTCACTCAGGCTTCCATGCCCCTGGGGTTCTGTCCTCAAGTCAGCATTCAGCAGAGACCAGTGGGGGTGATACACAGCTTTATCTTTATTGGGAAACAGGATTCAAGAACATACCCACTCACAGCTTGCAGGGAGAACAACAACACCAACCAAACTGCACCCACAGGGCATTGGGGGAAAGACTGGACTATACCACTGTTGGCCCCTTAAAGGTACATTCCATATACCACAGGGGGTAAGAGCTGGGGTTATAGGGAAGGAGGAGGCCCCATGGTCCTGGGCATGATTGGAAAGTGCAGCCTGCTGGGGATGGGTCACCTGGTGGGATTGTCTGTGGTGGGACAGTCCCCCAGAAATGCCAGGCCAGTTACCGCCCTGGTGAAAGGTGAATATGGGGCGCCTTCTAACCCCAGCCCCACATCCCTGGTGGATGAGATCAAATAGGGAGAGCCCAGACTCACCAAGAGTACTGAGGCAGGGCCCAGGTTGGTGGAGGGACGTGTGGCAGTGCCCAGATTCTTGGTGGAGGTCTGAGGCTGCACATAGGACCCAGCATGAAGCTTCACTGGGGTGGGCCCTGAGCCTTGGGGAGCTATTAAGGAAGCTTCTGGGGCCAGGGATAAGAGGATAGTCCTGGGAGGGCTTGGAGACAGGGCTTAGAGCCCTGATCCTAGAGGTGGGTCTGGAGGCCTGAGGTGTGTGAGCTAGGAGCCCCAAGAGTGTGTGTGGGGCCTGGGGCCCAGTGTGTGTGTGTTTGTGTCAAGAAAGAACCCAGTGCTAGCTAGCTGGAGTAAACATCTACAAGGCATGGGACATGATAAGGGAAGGTTGAAGTCGTATACATAGGCCCTTGTCATCAGGGCAGATAAATAGGCAGCCTCCCACCTGATTAACATTGGATAATTAGTAACAGCAAGGTGTGGCAGGCGAGAAGATGGGTGGCTGGCCCTAAGACAAGTGGGTGGGTCTACACTTAGACCAGCCCCAGGATGCCCATGGGTTACACAGGCCAATAGAAAATATTATCTACTTCTGCTACTTCTCTCTATGGAATATATTTACATTACTAACATAATTGTTGTTATTATTATTGTTGTTAACATTTCTATTAATAGATATTTCTTCCAAAGAATATTAAAAGGCATCACAAACTAGGAAGAGACACCACTACTAGTCTTCACCTTAATCAAATGTCCTGTTACCAGATAACACAGGAGGAAAGGTATAGATAAATTTTGAAATAGGACAAAGGAACAAACCTTTGCTACTGTTTTATATATACCCCACCCCCTGTGCCCCCACCAATAATGCCATGAAATTGTTGAATTGCATTTTCTGGGTATCTTGGAGCTTCAGTTCCATATTGAAGACTTGCACAGTAAAACACATGGTCCTCTGTTCATCTACATCAGAAAGTAGAAAGGCTTAGAGCCTTAGAGGTTTGAACTTCAGAGACAGGAACAGTATAAAAATTAGCACTTGACACGATTTTCTCTCTGTCTTGATAGGTCTTTAATGACCAACAGGGAAAAATACAAAAAGGAAAATGAGGGTACATGATCAAGACATATTAGTACAAATAAAAAGAGAAAAAAGTAGATAGACTAAGGCCTAGAAAGAGTTTCAGTTAGCAAGGGACATAAAACGTAACATGAAAAGATTCTATAAATGTATTTTAAGAGGAAAAAAATAGACAGTAGAGGTCCATTACTAAAAAGTAAGAAAGAACACATGATGGATAACAGAGAAAGCAGAAGCAGAATATTAATTTCCCTGTTTGCTTAGTTTTTTAAAAGATGATTATACTGTGACCAGATACCTAAATTTTAAGGAGGGAAAGCAGATCAGAATAGGGAAACAATATTTACTGTATTTACCTGAATGCAAAACAACTCTGAATTTAGAATGATGCCCCAATAATTAAGATTCTCTACATGGAACATTTACAACTTTTTTATCATTTTTCATGTACAGAATTTAATTACAGGCTGTTCTCGGACTTAAGACACAATTAGTTCCTGAAAACAGCGTCTTAATTCGAAATGTTGTAACTCAAAATCAATTTTCCCATAGGAAACAATGTTATAAATGGGGGATTGGTTCCTGATCCAAGGCCCGATACCCCGTTTTCACCAAAAATAACCCAGAATTTTGTAGTCAATCAATTATAGATGAGTAATATAGCTACATTAATGTATTTCTATTGTAAATAGCAATCATATTGATTTGGAAGGGCTTCTTTGAGGTGACTTTGCTGTACTTTTTGAAGGGCTCTTGGTTGGACTTTTCAAAGGGTTCTTGGCTGGATTCTTTTCAGGAGTCTTGGCTGCAGATTTTTCTGGAGTCTTGTCTGCTTTCTTACAGAAAGTGTCCAAGGAAGTTTGGACAGATGTTCTCCAGGGAGATGGGTGGCACAGTGACTTGCTTGCTGTTATGGTGTCACATCAGATCAAGTGTTGTAAAGTTGAAACAGGGTGTCAATTTATAAACATTGTAAGTGAGAAATGTAACTTGAAACTTTTTAAGTAAAGTACTGCCTGTACCACACAGTGAATAAAGCAGTGACGGGGGACGGGAAGTGGAGGGCAGGTGTTTGGGAGGTGGAGAGGGGAGCAGTGGGGGTGGGGAGGCAACAGGGGGGTCAAGCAGCTTACCCTCATCACTCTGCCCCTGCTACCTGCTCCCCCTGTGCCCGGCCCCCTGCAGCCATAGGCCCTCTGCCCCTTCTCCCTCTCGTCTTGCCTCCCACTGCTTACCCTTGCATTGGTACCAGTAGGCTCCATCCCCAGTTTGGCCTGTGACACAGAGCGTGGTCCCAGGCTAGAGCAGGAACAGAACATGGATTTGAAAATGAAAGGTCATTTCTTGGAGTCTCAGACCAGCAGAGACTCCCCATACCTGAAGAAGGGCAACTGTGCCCAGGGCTTTCCAAGAACTTTTTTACAACTACTCAGTTGGCCTAATAAAACATATCACATTTCCCCAAAGAACCTTGCCTGCCCATGCCCTTAGACCAGGGTAGGCAACGTTTTTTGGCCAGAGTGCTGAAGAAACCACATCTACCATAGAAGGTGCTGGAGTGCCGGCATGCCAGAAAAACAAAATGAGGGTGGGGGGTAGGAAGTACATGGCAGGACACACTGCATATTAGTATTTAATAAACATAAATGTTGCCTTTGTTGTTGCATATTCCTTTTTTGTTGAGCATGTTGCAATGAGAGACAAATAAGAGAAAGAGGAGAGAGAAACAGAAAGAAAAAGGAGAAGAGAGAGAGAACCAGACACGCACACATGCATACAAAGAACCACAGGCACAAACACAGACAACCAGACACACCCAGAGTAGACACATGCACACACACATCCAGAACCAGACACATGTGTGCACACAGACACACAGAACCAGACAGAGGCAGACAAATATACAGAACCAGATGCGGAGGTGCATGGAGCTTGGCTTCTGGGCCACTGGACAAAGTCCGACCCAACAATGCCCTGGTCCCGCCAGAGCCCCACAGGTGGCGGAGGCTCCGGCCTGGAGCCTGCCCATCCACACAACCACCCACCGACCCCACGCAGCTAAGCCCACAAAAGGTGCGGTGCTCCTGGGAAGGGGCAGCACCAACCTCACCCTGGTGGGGAGTTGGGCTGGGGCTGGGCTTGGAGTGGGTGGGAGTCAGGTGGGCTCAGCTGTAAACCGTGCTGCAAGTAGACTGGGCTCTGTGGCTGGCAGCAGCTACCAGAGCCTGGGCCGACTACAGCTGCTCTGGGCTCTGCCATCAGCTTCATACTGGTGGGTGCACGCGTACCTCAGAGTGGACGGCGGGGATAGGGCCTGGGGCAGCACAGCCCTCCCGCTGTCCACCGAGGTGCACGTGCGGTTGCCGCCTGATGCCAGGGCTGTGGAGCTCAGCGCAGCTGTTTGCAGCCTGCCTGCTGCAGCTGCCCAGAGCCCAGGCTGGCTATAAACAGCTGTGCCAGGCTGTAGAGCCCAGTCATCAGCTCTGTGCTGGCAGTGGGACAGAGGCTGGGGTTGCGTTGCCTCAGGCCACTCCCCCACTGTCCGCTCTGAGGCACGTGTGCACCCACCAGTATGGAGCTAATGCCGGAGCCCAGAGCAGATGTTTGCAGCCTCCTGGCTGCAACTGGCCCAGGCTCTGGGTAGCTGCTGCCAACCATGGAGGGCTTGCAGCTGCCCAGCCCCCTGCTGGGAGCAGCCTGGGCTTAGTGGCTGGCAGCAGCTGCCTAAAACCCATGCTGGTGGTGGTGTGCAGAGCAAAATAGCCTCACGAGCCATGCTGGCCACACATACTGGGGATTGCTGACCCCTGCCTTAGACCAAAAACCCAACAGCAAACTCAAGAAGTCGATTAAGACTCCTTGAGGGTGACTTGGGTTTTGCACATGCTGCATCAATGAGGTGCTTCAAAAATGAGTGTACATTTTGAACACTTTCCCTACTACCGCCTGTACATTGTATTGTACAAAGGTCTGAATGCTCGTACAGTTACACAAAGGATCGCAGCGCTAGGAAGCAGGCAAACCCCACAGAAGGCGGGAACGAAAAAACGCGGCGGAACGCAGAGCCGGACCCTTTTCAGGAACGGACCAGTGGCACCGGAAGTGCCCGGCATGCAACGGAGTGGCGGAAGCGCCGCGCCAGTTGTGCGCCGGCGCGGCCGGAAGTCCCACCTCGACGCTCTAGCGGGTCACCGGCTGGCCGGTAGGACGGAGCCAAGGGTGGGGGTGGGGCGCGGAGCAGAGCCCAACGGCCGCCGCAGGAGGATGAGCGAGCTGCCCGCCGGCAGTGGCGCCCTGCGGGCTGGTAAGGAGCGGCCCGGCCCCGAGTACCTCTGCCCTCAGGTCGGTCGGACGGGACGAGAGGCCGGGGTGGCGGGCGCGGCCCCCACAGCCCGGCCCGCAGACTCCCCTCCCCCCTCCCTGTGCCGGACCGCGCAGGGCTGCTCCAGCGGCCACCCGCCTCGGCAGCCACGTCCGGCTCCGCGCAACTTTCTTCTGTCAATCCTGTTAGCTCTGCAGCGGGCCCCCGGCCCCGTCTCCTGACCCTTCCTGGCCTAGTCCCCTGCCCCGCAGTGCTGGATTGGGAGCGAGCTTTGCTGCTGCTGAAGGGAGGGCGTGTTTGTCCAATATCC